GCGCTTTCCCTCGGCCGTTTCGTACCGCTCGGAAAGTAGGAAGTACGAAGAAACCTACGTAAGTTTATAGGTATTTGTATAAAATATAAAATTCATAAAGTCAATTCATCAACTTCCTTTTAGTGAAACGGGCATCGCTTTGAATTTTAATTGACTCTATTATACATTTATACTCACACTCATGCTCATTTTTCCACTTAATTTAATCCACAGTCCATAACAGTAAACATTATTTATTAATATATAATTAAGGTTTCCTTTTTTTGTATTTCGCGAGACGCAAATTATGGTTTCCAATCAGCAAAACCATATTGTTTTCTACAATATACAGTGACTGTATTCATAATAATCATAAATCACGTGGCAACTTTTTTGAGGCTCAATCAGCAATCCATAAATATCAATTTCGCAAAGGAAAAAATCAAATAAAATATCGAATTTCTGTTAGTCGAATATCGTATTACATCTTTTTCACACATATTAAGGAATCGGGGGAACCCCTTCTCGGATACGCACCCCTCATCATACTTTCGCATGATTCCTTCCTGGTTCTTGAGGAAATCCGCAGGTAGAATTTTGATTTTTACCTGAATCGCGGATAAAAACAAGTTCGCGTTTAGGTAGAGATGGTAGAGAATGGATGGAAAACCGCAGTTGATGGGGTTGCAATTTCTTCTTCTCTTCTTTTTTTCTTCTCTTCATATTCCTTTGTCATTCCACTAGGGGTGCGACGACGGGGTAACCTTATACCTACTTATTACCTAAGAGATTCCTCCTAATAATAGGTAAATATAAAAAAAAGGGAAAAGACAACGTGTCATTCCCTTTCGCATTTTTTCTTTACCTCATACAAAAAAATCTTCACATGAAATTTTATAAAAAACGTTTTTTTTTATTGATATATTTAATAGACTTAAATTTACTAATAAAATATTCGATTTTAACTACATTATTTAATAATTAAATAATATTTCTTTATATTATTTATAATAATTAAAAGTAATTTCTCCTAAATAAATAAAAAAAAATCTCACACGATTATACACATACAAATTTATGTGAAAAATATACGGGTTATTTAAAAACTTTATTATTTGTTACAAAAAATTATAGCGCGAAAAAATGTTTCAAATTATTCCTAAATAATTATTGATTATATAATATAAAATAATGAATAATGAATAATTAAGTATTAAATATAATTAGTAAATATGTTTCATAGGTAAAAAAGGATTTCCACTTTTATAAATTACAATAAAAAACTAGTATTAATCTTAGGTTTTTGATATACATTAAAATACTATACAAATAAAGAAAATTTGAATATGTGATTTGCATTTGATTCCCTTACATAAAATTCATCAAATACGAGTTTTACGTAACGTTTTACGTGAACGTGAGAGACGTTTTCTCCGAATCCTGAATTCATTAAAATTAACCCTTTCACGTAATCTGCTTTCTCGAGATGTTTTCTTTTTATATTTTTTTCTTCTAATGCATTTCTGAAGGAAAAAAAGAAGGCAGCTGTCCGCATCCGTTTTTTTTTTAACACAATGGCCACGACGGAGATCCAGAAATGTAGAAACGGATTTGTGAAAGCCATTTGATTAATTGATTCACGTGATAAATGATGTGCATTTTGACGCTGACATCCGTAAAAAAATATAAATAATTTTAGACTTTTTTACTTTCAGATGAATTCCGAAACTATTACACATTTCATTAACCTTTTTCTTCAGTTGTAAACTTTGTGTGGGAAATCACAATTATTCAGACATTATAAAAAAACTTAAGTAATTATTATACGCATTTTATTAAAAAATTTCTTACAAATCTTTATTTAATTATTTCGACAATATTTTACCTTATTATAATATTATTATTAGTTTTTTTTTTGGAATTAGTTAAACATATGTAATTATATAAAATAGAACCTATTTATATAATCATAAAAAATAAGTTTGTTGAAAAACTTTTTTTCTAAAAATTTAATTATAAATACTTCTATTATTTAGCGCACATTATATATAGGTAAGATATTATAAACATTATTTATCTGAAGTAAAATTAATTATGTTTATTGTTAATTGATTTTAATGAGAAAATATTTGTTGAAAAATATATTTTGATAGTCATTAAAACCAATAACTTTTCTAATTATATTTGTATATTTTTATTAAATAAATTGTAACTATAATTAATATTTGCATTTTAATATGGAAATTGGATAAGTAAAAAAAAATATCTTGATAACATTTTGAAGTTTAATTATATTTTAAAATTTTGTTATTGATTATGTTTATATGTCTTTGAGTTATTATGGAAATGATGTATTGGTCAATTATATAAGATTAAAAAAAAATAATAGGAAGGAACATACATAAAAAAAAGAATCGAAGAATTAAGTATAATCAAAATTATTGTCACCTTGATCTCCATTTGAAATATCGGAGTCAGGTAAAACCAGTTCTTACTAAAACTAGGAGCCAGACGAGCGCACACCACATCTACGATCAGTTACGATTCTTTTAACGGATGTAATCCTCACGTAATAGTTATTTTATTCCAGTAAACTGACTTCTCTAACCTAATCGAGGATTTGACGCTACCAGAATGCATTAATGAAAAAGTTTTCACGTAAAATTGGGTTTTTAACTGTATCCTTATATACTTAATATTATTAGTACTATACACACAATAAATGTCGAACGATAACCATAATTCGAGGCAAATGAAACACTCGATAAAGTTAATTTCAAATTAAAAAAAGCTCGATTCGTTTTTGCTTGATTTCGAATGAAAGCTGTCTGCTATTAACATGCAGTTATTAAAAAAATAAATGTAAATGAAATTATTTTAATTGTGAACGAGCCTATACGAATGGGCTGAAGTAAAGAATACGCGAATTCACAATTAAAATGTATGAAAAATGTGCGCTCTCGTCGTTTGGAAATCATAACAATGGCAATTTGATGCCAATTTAATTTTATTTCATTTTTAAAGGAATACCTGGTTTTCGTCCTTTTTTTGTTATTTTCTTTATAAATAAATAAAAATAATGTTGAATCCTGGAATTCCTCAGCAGTTTCCAAGTTTATTGGTACATCAATATTATATTGTTTTTGCATCAAGTTTTCCGTTTTATTATGCCTTTAAACGCGCACTTAATCTCTCCTTTACTTTACTTGCTAAGTCTCTTTCGTTAAATAACTTCATTCAATTGATAAAAAACATGTGTATTTTCGTGTATTTTTTTTTAATTTTATAAAATTGGTTTGCAGAAAAAGTATGTGAGGTGGTGATTTGTAAAAAAAGACATGGTACGTAGCGCCCCTTCGGTGTTATTTGAAGTTGTGTCCATTGTCCAGTAGCAATTGCGACCGGTCCAAATTTAGAACGGCGGTCAATTACAGCACGAGCCCATCTGACATTTGACAGAAGCTCGAAATGACCGCTACAAATCTGCTTTACATAATGGACAGTTTCCAAAACAACATGAATTTGCCATCGTATAAATCACTTTCGGTTTAACTGCTTCATTTCGTACATCTTAACATTTGTTTTATGCATTTGTAGTGTTGATGAATCTATTATTTTAATATTAACTATTTTAGTCTGAATTGTTTTACAAATAATTTTTAGTCTAAAACTTAATTACTTGAAACTACAGTTAACACACGTTTACAATTATCAATTATTTCTAATTATTATATTTAATTAAATTTCTTTCAAAAATGATTTAAACATTATTAAATAAATTTGTTTTTGTTAAAAAAATTGTATAACACATTTTTTACATTATATTATTTATAATTCTTACTTTCGTACTTTGCTATGAATTAAGAAAATTATTTAGAATTCTAGCACATATTTGTACAACATATAAGAAATTTGCGAAGAAAGCCTTGTTCTTATAAGAAATCCATTTACATTCTAATACAATTCAATTTATATTATTATTTTTTTAAATAATATTCCTAAACAGAATTTTTTATTTAAAAATTTTCAATAATTAAAATTTAACAAAAAATCATTGAATTTCTCGCATTGTTTTTTAGTATAATTTATATTCTTGTGAATCTATCTCATTTTTTTTTAATTATGTTTAATCTGAAAAGTTATTAACTTTCAATATAGTTTTTAATACATTTAATTTCCATTTGACAGTCTTGAATAATTCAAATTTAGTTTTTCTTTAAAACTAGATCGGATTTTTTGAAATATAATTTCAAAACTTACGAAATTTCTTAAAATGCAGTGAAAATAATGTTTTTTTTAATATTTATAAAATTTAATTTTTCGCATTTGTATGATATTTGATGCATTCAAAAGTCAAATCAATTCATATCAAATTTATCACTAAATTTCCAGAAAATATGAATTTGTCTAAATTTCATAAATATGTTTAATTTTTATGATTAAACTTTTTTTTGTAGACTTTATAGAATTTTTACAGATTTGTTTTAAAGAATATATAAACTCCTAATTTTTATTAAATTTGCTGAAAAGCTGTAAGTGTATTAAGAAACATCACATGTTTGTAAATACTTGAACTTCTGATTTTGAGTATTGTTGTAATATTTAATGTAATCTACTGAAAAGTCAATGAAATCAAATAAAAAAATAATACTAGATTTAGTTAATTTATAGATTTTCATAAATATCTTTCATTTGTATAAAAATAGAATATATTTATAAAAAATTAATTAAATCTCATTTTATAAAAGAATAATTATTTCCAATAAAATGAATCTATAAATCTTATAGATTTGTATAAGTTATATAATATTTCAGGATTTGATTTACTAGTTCTATTATTGTTACAAAATATTTATTATTTTCAATTGGAAGTTTTGAAATGGAAGTAGTTAATATTGAAAACTCCTTTGTTCCGTTTAGTTTAAGTGTATTTCATATATACACGGTATGTAGATGTAGTAGGTGCATTACAGTCTTGCAGATTTTATTAGCCGAAGCCAAGGTCGGAATTATAGGAGCGAAGGAGTGCTAATAAACAGTACGTGGAAGAGATGCAAAGAGGCGGTTGTTGCGGCGGCAATTGCAGCCACGAAGGGAAGAAATGCACTTAAAGTCTGAAACTGAAAATTGGACTTAAAACAAAAAGGACGAAAAGGATCTGGCGCAAAGTGCGAACGAAGAACCAATATGATTTCAGCATTTCACGTCCTGAAAATTTCGTGTATGTGTGCGGAACGGAACGCAAACGTTCAGGTTCAGGCTTAAAAGTGAAGAAAGAGTGTGTGAGAGAGCAAGAGAAAGAGAAATATTCGTGGTGGGAGTTGCGTCGCGCCTCAAATCCAACCCTAGGGGTGGGGGAAGAACCTTAGAGCGGTTGCGGCCGACCCGCTCCTGATCCCCGGTATCCTCACTCAGTCGGTTCCAAACCGCAAACGGAACACGTTCCTAAAAAAATACAGAAAACAACAAACAGAAATATCACAAACACGAACTACCTATTTATTATTTTTGTTTTTTAATTTTTTTTGGGAACGTCTGTTATAAAACAACTATTATATAATTTAGTGTACATAATATAATACCCAAAACAACTATATTCTCCCACCAAGTCTTATGTTTTCTCTCATTTGAATGTATCGCAAACAAAAGAAAAAAGAAACAATTAAACTTTCTAGTGATTAGAATTGTGTGTATATCATCAAGTGCTTGAGTTGTATCATCTTCTGGTTGTGGTGTGTGCAAGTGCGCCCACGAGTTTTAAAAGTTTTTCCTGTTTTACTTTTTCGCGAGTTCTCAGCCCGAAAAGGAGCCAGGATAACTGAGGTAAACATCATGTTTGTTTGTTTGTTGTTGTTGTCATCATCATCACCGTTTTCGCCCACCGGATCGTTTCTTTTGGAGAGGGTGGGTTTTCGGTTCCGGAAAAATCGCACGCGGAGGGGCGGGTTTCTTTACGTAATTGTGCGGCCGCGGTGGGTCACGCACGCACTAACTGGAGGATAGGAGCAGTCGCGTGGGCCAGTCACGCACGCGCCCGCTTTCCACGGGCGCGTGCCGCCGACTGGAGCGGCGCGTGCCGGAAAATCTCTCCCAAGAACCAACCCATCCGATCGCATTCTACCAACAACAAACCCAATGACCAAACCACTCGAACCCATCTCCAAACACATCCAAAACCCAAAAAAAGTAAATATAACATTCCAAGAATCAAAGTTTTCCAACTGCTCAAACTGTTTAAATAATTACAATCGGAATTCTAACAATTATACTTAATTCGCAATTCTTCAAGTATGTTCAAAATCTGCAAACGGAAGCATTCGGTAATCTTAGTTGCGCACCCACGAAACATAGGAAACACGTAATCTACGTTTGATATACAAAGTGAATTAAATACAGGAAAAACACAAATTGCAATTTTCCAGATAATAAGTAAAATATAATACAATAAGTGAATTATGCATCAACAACATCTTAAAATTATAATTAAGTTTACTAATAAACACACAATTTCACTCACAAGTAATCTTATGTATGATAACTAAGTAAAATATGCGTCTTATAAGAATCAAATGAATTCAGTATAATTATGGAAATAAATCTTATTTCAATCATATTTAATTACAGTTAATTGTTTTAAAATTGCCTTCATCTTATTGGAACTAATTTATTTGTAATTAGTTAACATTTTTCTATAGGAATTCTTCTAGAAAATCCAATTTTTTAACTAATAGAAAATGTATAATGTAGACAATAATCAGATTTATTAATTGTTTTAAATTTGCTTGCAAAATGAAATAAATTCAATTCACTAACTGCTGTAGTTATAAACCGTAAACGTAATTGCTTTTTATACACAATTACATTTAATTGATTTAATGTTAAATTTTACGTAAATCAAAACTAGTTTTCATTGAAAAATATAATGTAAATAACTTTTACTCATCATTGCAATTGATTGTTTTAAACTAGATCATATACGAAAAATAAAATGATGAAAAACTGGAATGAAATATTTAATGTTTAACTAGTCTAGTTTATTGTAATAAATCAAATTAAAATCATGCTCATTTAATTGCTAAGTAATTACTTGATTAATTCTTTACATTTGCTTGAAATATGAATTTATTAGAGATTTCTTGTTTAATCTTCAAAACAATTTTATTTTAATTATTTTCTTGATATTACTTGAATGTTATTTGATATAATAAAGTTTAAATCAAATTATATTGAATAAAAGTAATTAATTACAAAACAAGACCAAATTCTTCATTTTTATAATCATATTAGAAAGTATTTTTACTATAGAAATATGAACGATTTCTTAATTTTAATGTTTTACTAAATATTGATAGTTTTAGTTTTTTTCTTAGTTTCCGTTAGAAAATTAAGATTCGTTTAGTCTCACAAAAAAATAGTGTTATAAATGAGCGTGTTTACTAATATGCAGCATTTGAAAGTGGTTTTATTACAAAATTAATCGTGTTTTTGACAATCCACGAAGTTTAGTCATTCGAACGCAGTTTGTATGTATGTAATCAATGAACGTGTTTATTAATATGTCGCAACGGATAGGAAGAAAATAGCCATTTAGATTACGGCCCGATTGCAATGTAAATATGCAATCGTAAATTGGCGCATGGAAACGTGATACTCCATGGTAATATTGCCGTTAATTGAGGCGCAGAACAAAATGAAGGAACAATCGCTAATATTTATGTAAGCGCGTGCCGTTTATGATTATTACCGTCGCGGAACTAAATAGACGTTAATTCGGATTCGCACTTAATCCTCTGAAGCGGCGCCGTTAATTGGAGGTGAGGAGCAAACAGATTGTGATAGCGCGCGCGGCGGATGAAGGGAAACAAGGATAATGGAAGCTGCGAAGAAGCGCGGGATTTGTTCATTTCACCATAAATTACGGGCGGCTGGTAAATATTGTCTCAAATGGAGTCGGAATACGGGAATACCGAAAGGACACACCGACATACGGAGTGTTTACCGCGAGTGCGAGGCACTTGCGTGCGGTAATTACACACAAACTGGTAGAACCAACAGAAGAACTAGCTAGTAAAGACATCCGCCGCCGCCGCAGCCTGGGATTCCGGTACGTTTCTTCTTCGCTTACATTTTCCGAACCCTTTTCGGTTTTGCTCCTCTTCTTTGCGGAGCTGGTTTTATATATATAGTTTGTATGTGTGTGTGTGTGTATATATATGAAGGTTTTTTTTGGTCGTTTTCATTGTAAAATTTGCTTGAAATTAATGTCGCATTGTTCGGGAATCGAGAGCGGATTGGAATGCGTGCATTTGTTTTATCGCGTTTTTCGGGGTCCATTTGGTCGCCGGGGCCCATACGTAATTAACAATTAAAACCGGGTTTCGGGTCGTTTATTTTGGTGGCCGCCGCTTTTGTATTTCGCGAGAGAGGGCTTCTTTCAAAAAGAAATATATCGAGGGCGGGAGGGACTTGTCGAACGTGTTTTCGGGGGGAGACCTCTTCTTCGGATGCCTTCTTCGTCGCTACACCATCCGTACCATCGTCTCGGATGGAGGATAGAGTGCTGCAGTTCTTTACCTTTCCGTTCCGTTCCCCCCTTTGTACGTAAATCAATTGGAATCGGGCCGAGCGCGAGGAGGAAGGAAATGGGACAGGTTTATAGTAAATAAGGTGCTGGAAAAGTGTTCGCGCGCGCTCACCACATTACCAACTAAATACAAGCCGTAAGAATGCTGTAAACGAGTTTTAGAAGGCATTTAGTGTCTTTAATTAACATTACTCTTCTTTCCACCGGACTCATATTTCAAACACCGGGGCGAGAGGCTCGCGTTTATAATTGAATCCGACGCTGCGCTGCTCCTAAAAGCCTCGGTTCTATCCATTAATAACCGGAGGATACGCGCGGGGTGTCGTTCGGAACAACCAACACACGGACGGACACATCCCAAGAACCGAACGCGAAAAACAATTGACAGACAAACGAACCAATCTCGGAATTTAACGCGTGGGAAGCCCTACAGCATTCGTCCATCCATCCTCTCCGACTTTTCAATCCACAATTACGCTCCCAAACTGCAATTTACTACTACTTCCACTTAAAAGAAAAGAAAAAACAACCCTAATCTAACTTAAGGAGATCATAACCTAACACGAATCACCGTCGCGTTAATAATCTTGTTGTGTTAGTCCTTCTTTTATTGTCTTTTAATTAATTATACCCGATGCAATTTTTACTGGTTTTTAATATGTAACAGTGGAGAGCTCGAGCAAAACAGCAGCACGAGATAGAAGGAGTGAGAAAGAGAGAGAAAGAGCACGCGCCGCCGACCGATCCGAGCTTCGCTATATATACGTGTGCACTTTATAAATAACGCATCGTTTATACAACATTGACGATTTATAATCATTAAGTGCTTGTATCAATTCATTTAATCGATCGATGCCGCTTGTAAAGTGATACAAATCTCCTACATCACGGCCTGCCATCTCCATTTCAAAACCCGCGAGAGCCGCCTCGGATCCCAACCCCCAACCAGATCTCTCGTTTTTAATAACAATTCAACACGAACCAAAATCATGAAAAGAATCAATTCTATATTTCCATTAATACAATTCAACATCATCGCACAGATTTACAACAACAAATTAAAATGATATTCAATAAAGTAGAACAAATCATCTTATAATAATAATTCTTAATCGCTTTATTACAAAGATGAAAATTCCACACACACGAAATCATTAATTTTAAATTGTATTTTTTTTCCTTTAATAATCATTTGATGTGACCCGAATACTTCGGGACCACTTTTAGAAGAGTGAAAAAAATTGTTATTAATAACGAATTTAGCGAGTAATCATTTTTTTTACTCACAACTAAATATGTTTTTTCTGATTTTATTGTAATTAGCGTGCTTTTCATGTGTATGCGTAACTATGTGTTTATATATATATATATCAGTGTATATGTATATGTGGTGTGCTCAGATCCATATATTAAAAAGAGATATTGCGCGACAATAATTTTGCAATAAATTTTATTGTTATTTAAACCTATTTTATTAACTGCACGGCAATGTATAACAAAAGAAAGGTGTGTTGGCCACTTTATATGTATACGTGTATGAATATAATTTATACCGATTCATTTCTTTGCTAATGGCTTCGCGGAAAAACGAGCTCTCTCGACGCCCGGCATTATTATTACTCTGCGCTCTCAGTAACTGCCCTCGCAAAACGGACACACTCAAAGAAGTAGATACAGAAAGAGGAGAGCGAAACAGAGAAAGAGATAGATCAACCTATGTTGTATCTATCTGGTCGTTCGATCGAAATTGAAATGCCTCCGCCATTCGGGCAATAGAATCATGGTTTTGATAAAACATGCAAATCGGGCCCCAAACTCTCCCGACTTCTTCCCTCCATCTCCGTAATTACATTTCGATCTCCCATAAATACTATCGAAAATATAAATCATAAAGAGTCCATTAATTACGTAAAGGTAGAATAAGAAGAAGAGAGACGGAGAGAAGAAGAAAAAAAAACATGTTTTATGTATCTATAGAAAGAAAGAACTGGTCCGAGTTTTGTTTCAGATTATCTATATTTTTTTTTTAGTTCTTATTCAATCTGTTCCAGATCATAATGCTTTTCTCTTTCTGGTGGCAGCACAAATTATAATGGCCTTTGTTTTAATTACGATCCGAGAAGATAAATAATCCTATTTATAACTATATATTTTTTTTTGTATACTTCTTGCAATTGCTTGGTAGCTTTTGAGGCCAGGGATCTCACGATTTCGGGCCGGCTGTGATCGTATCAAGTTTTAGCTTAACCGGAACCCGCGTTTCGTTTTCAGTTTTCTTTCAGCGCACTGAAGACACTCTGTACATATATGATATACGAAGAAAAGAAAGGATAAACGAAAAAAATAAATAAAACGGATTAGAGCTGCGTATGTCTATTTCGACGGGGATAATAAAATCAAACGAGCAATTGTAAATCATAATTTCAATAAAACGATTTTTTTCCCTTTCGCACGGCTCGGACCATAAAGTTTTGCACGTATCGACGAGTGCACGGTAAATTTAACCGGACGATAAAACGTTTTCGCGCGCGCTGTTTCTGTTGTTTAAATAATAATAAAGCGGATTTGAAAATAATTGAAAAAAAAAAAATATTATATATAAATCTGTATGCAGATGACGAGGTGGACGCATATTTATCGGTGATCGGTGTATAAATCCGCACTTTATAAATAATGGTGAGATGAATGGGTAATTAATTCAGTCCCTCTCCGATTTTCCTCACTCCGGAGGCCAGTTTAAATCTTGTTTTAATGGAATTTCATAAATCAAAAACCGTCCGACTTATCTCGGCCGATCGATGCGGAACGATCGACTTGGCTACAAAAACCAATCACGAAAAAATTACCTAATAATAGGAGAAATCCGAGGCCTGAAAAATATCCATCTAGAAAGAAAGTATTGGGAAAAAAATATTATATATATATAAACGAAAACAGGGCACGCAACATATAATTAACAGTTTAATTTTTCATCGCGAAGGGGAGAGTGCATTTCGGATCCTCCCTCCATTTTTCACGAAAGGGTGATAAAACCATTAAAAGTTTCGAACGTGGGGTGCGTCCAGTTTTTTTTCCTTCTTCCTTATTTAATTTTTACCCGTTTAACGATATGCACTATATATATACATGTATGTATCCAGAATGGATTTTTATTATTACGCTCTTTCTTCTTTACTCCGAATTGTATGCACATGGTTGATATGCAAATTTGCAACCCCTTTTTTTCCACCCCTCGATTCACGCACACACAGTTGGCCGCCGTAAATCACGTTCCGAATCTTTCTTTGTTCTTCGATACAAATATAAATGATATCATCCGCATTTGCATGCACTTGGGATAGGGGTGGAGACCCAGAACGCATCATCCCCCAAATGATGCTCTCTTTCACATATTATATAAATCATATTTTTTTTTATTAACGCCCGTTTTTTGTTTGGATATGTTTCAGGAATGATTGGATGTTGGGTGTAATGGCAACTGTTACTACTGGCTTACTGTCGCCGAATTCTTATGGGCTAAATCCCGGTAAGTATTTTTTATCTGTTCTTTCTTCGATTCTTTCGCTCATCGAAAGCCTACGAGAAATATCCGAAGGGAGAAGAGTACGTGATGGGTTTTGCCAAAAAAAAAATCGTCTCGGATCGCGTCGCGCGGAATTCGATCGCGACCACAATTAAAATTTTCATTTCTTGGAAAGCTCTGGGCGCGGTTTGCTTCACAGACTCCGGGGTTCAGTAAAAACAACGCAAAATTCCGTCCCTTCGGTCTTATTTTCGTTTGGCCATTTTTTGCTTCTCGTCGGGGAATAAATTGATCCTCGATTCGGAAATGGCATAATATTGTGTATTTATTTATTTTGGTCGTGTTGCAGATCAAGTGGCGGCCAAGATGGCTTTTCGAGGAAGCTTCGGGGGCGGCAATTCCAGCGACTCGGAGAACGACTATCGCCTTCAGCAGGCGTGCGAGCTCCCGAAGCGCAACAAGCGGAAGAACTTCAAGCCGCGATGCTCGAACATCGCCTCTTATTCGGATACAGATGAAGCCCTGAATCTGTCCGAATTCAGCAACAACAACAATAACAATAATAACAACAACAACAATGCGAGGAACCGCAGGAAGACGACGGCAGCGAGGAGGGTGGTTGTTGAAAGCAGCAATTACCATCCGATGGATCTGAGCAAGAACGACTCGGAGTCGGCGTCCACCGATTCCGAGCTGAACTTCGAATCTGAAGGGGAACCGAAGATCCCACCAGGCTTCTCCATCCACAGCCTGGCGAAACCTCACCATCATCCCGACTTCCTGACGGCGGCGCCAAGCGGTGGTCATCAGCATCAGGATATGCGAGAGTACGCTGTGAACACGATGCGGGAATTGCTCGGCATCTACGGGTTGACCTCAGAAGTCGCGGAGTCTATCAGTCGGCAGCTTCCGATCGCCGCCTTCAGCTCAGGTAAATAAATTGAAACATTCACTGCCGCGGCAGAAACGGATACCGATAAAACAACAGCATCGACGGAAAAGAAACGAAACAAAACGAAACGAAGGAAGGAAGGCGAAAAAAAAAGGAACTGGTACAAGTAGCTAAACTATATTGTCTGGCCGTTTTCTAATTTACATTATGCTGCCCACGCGGTTCAACCGAGATGGAGCATAACGTGGGGCCCCCGATGCGGACGGAGACGGCGACGTCGCGTTGCATGTTTTCAGCGTGCGGCGCGATCATAAATTTCGCGGCCATTGTGCAACAACCCGCCCGTTAAACCCAAGTAATCGAATGATCGCGCAACAATTTCAATTTCAATCTCTCAATTACTCAAACAACGAAACACCATATCCTTTATTTTATATCCATTTTCAACTCCCCCACCAGTAATTTTTCACATCTGACACAATCATCATGCACAGAGACATTCCTAATAGCTCTCAACTATTAACATTAGCAAACGCAGTCGCCGTGATTCTTCATATCCCGATTTATGTGCGTTTCGACGGTAGCAGGCGTAGCCGTCCATCGTTCATTCGTGTCTTCTTTTTTTCTCCGTTTTACCATCGTCTCGCTCTAAGCAAATATTACCCATTTCGTGTAATTTAATTTTAGGAGTACGCTTGGAATTCTGTTTATTCACTTCTTGAGGATTTAATTTTTCAAGTTCTCTTTTCTGTCTCTTCGCTGGCCGCTCTTGAAAACTAGCATATGTTAATGAAAATATTTCAAGTGTACGTAGCCGCGTGTTAAATAAACACACATTTCTCGCGCTCGCATGGGATGATGATTATGATGATGATGATGTTGCTGCTGTTACTACCGCCACAAATTACACAAATCTTCGGTTTTCTTTTTTTTTTATCATTTATTCATTGGTAATAAAATACAGTTACGTCGTCCTGTATGTTAAAACAATTTAATGATTTTAATTTTGGTTTAGAAGACGCATCGTAACTGGGTCACATGCTTCGTTATAATCCGCCGAAGAAATATATATATATATACATATATGTGTGTGTACGATTTTTTCTCGATAAAAGTAATAAAATCGAATTCCTCCACCTCCGGCACCGAAATTCCGCTATTTAATTTGAATACAATACAACTTCCAAATTCTGCGTGTACGTTTCGCTCGTAGATGTGTAATGAGCGTCGATTTGGAAATTCTTTCTTGTCGCGCGCATTGTTTTCCTTTTTCGCAATCGCTGCGACAAATTTGGCCCACATAAGGGGAAATGTGCAGCATTAGCGTTCCACTTTGAATTTTCAGCCTGCCTAAGCAAAATCGCGCGACTCGCGATGTTCAAAGTATGAATTTTGCAATTGAACGGAAGATTAACAATCCGAATGTTTGAATAACGTAAACACACACACACACACGCGGACACACGTTGGGTAAACGCGTCCCAAATTACACTACCCGGAGGAATGTGTTGTTGTTGTTTTTTTTTGTACTTCTTGTGTTATTGCTGTTGCTTTTCCTACTTTCCTCATCGCCTTCTCTCGTAGCGGCGGTTCAGAAAACGTGTAATTATTATTAAACACATACATTTTTATAGGAACGGAAAAAAAGCTATGCATGGATTTAGTGATGGTTGACCGTTATTGGCCCCGAAGGTCCGCGTAGCCTTTAACATCATACGCTCGATTTTTTTCCATCGTTCCAAAGATGCCTACTTTTGCTCTAAAAAAGGAATTAGCATTTTAATATGAAATTATTAATTTTTCGAAAACGAAAATTAGTCGCAGACCGCCTAATTTGGAATTATGAAACGAACGGCGATTGGGTAATTCGTTTCGGTCCAGTTTCCTTCTTCTATTTTTTTTTTCTTCTACACTCTCTACGACGATTAATTACGGATTTAATTATATAATGTACGCCGCGGACGAGATAAATAATATTTTCGGTGGACGTTTTGGAAGGGCGCATAAATCTGTACGGTGGTTCTCATTTCTGTATATATACATTTTTTTTCTTGATTTGCTGTTGTTTTGTTTCCTTTATGCCCCTCGATAAAGTATTTTCTAAGTAATTTATAGCCTACCCAAGTTTCGAAGAGTCTCCTCTCCCGGTGCGAGTTTATTCTTCTTCGCCTTTTGACGCGTGAATTTTTCCATCTTATAATACATAAGTAAGGCTAATTTTATTGCCGCGAAGCCTCTATAAAATGGAAATCAAATATTTAATTATTTTTAATTGCATGATTCATCGAGAATAGAAGAGAATAATAGTTGGCTGTTCGCTCTTCCTTCTATTCGAAGCGTATTCTTTCCTTTTCATTTTCTTTTTGGGGCCCCACGGACTTTTTAATCGACTGTACTATGAGTGTGTGTGCGTCTGGGGCGGTGGTTGCTGCGGGGATCTGCGGGGTCCGGGCTCTTTATTAAAAAACATATTTTCAATTTATCATAATCCGAGAGATGATGGTATCGCGGATGCTGCGGCAGAGCGAGACCATACCACTCGCTCTCAGGCCTCCTCTCCAAAGAGCGAGATGCATACTCTCTCCCATACATTCATACCCCATACACACATACAACATATGCATACATATACTTATACTCGCATAGGCACAGACACAGACGCGCGCATCATATGCATACGAATAATTAGATAGAGATATATCTGCTCTTGCTGCTCCATACAAGAAGAATGACGTCGGCGAAAAGGAATTTTCATATTTGTAATTGTATTAGATTATTTCTTAGTCCTCTTGAAAACCTTTTCTATCGCGCACAAGTATTCATCAACTCGCATCGCCGCAAAGTATAATTCCTGTTATTCACACCTGCATCAAAAATTTAAACATTTACAAAAATCTTGAGCGCTATGCATTTTTGTTTTCCTATAAACGCACCGTGCGAAAATTCAATGAATTCGTCGAGTCGAGGCAAAAAGTGAAACTTGACAAAACTAACGTTATTTCATTCCGATGGCTCAACAATTATTATTTTATTTACAGTTCTGCAAAACACGCAAGTTTCGGTAATTTATTTTATTTGCTTTGTTGTTTTTTTATTTGGCAAATCGGTGGACTACTAAAATACCCAGATTGTTTTCCTTGCTCGAAATTTTTCCTTGGCTCTAATACAATTACTTTTAATGCCACTCGTCTGACCTATCCAGATTGAAACACGATAGATCTAAATTAACCGATTTTCGAGCGTTCAATTAGAGAGGTGAAAAAAGTTCCGAATCCATTAATGGTGCTCGTCCACTATAATGATACATTAACATAAACAATTTTGTTTTTCGTTTCTTCGAGTCGATGATTTTATTTAGATGAGCGCAGATGAAAAGAGGCTTTACTTACATAAAAGTGATTTAAAACGGGCATTTTGTTCTTGTTGCGAGTTGGTGAACAATGCTGCGCGGAATATAAATATTAATGAACCAATGTCCAACTGCCGCGGAATTATTAAAATATTTGTATGTATTTGTATATACATATATATCGTTGATAGGGAATTATGGCCTCGGCGAGACAATCCTACAAGATGAAGAAAGGAATGCGCGTACGAGGAGGCATTGTTCCAATTTTTCCATCGGCCTTCTCGTACTGGAATATTATTATTATACATGGATTCATTATAAGCATGTTAAAATAATTTAGAGCTTCCGTTAAAACCATTAGATGATTTTACATAAACTGAAATTATTCTAGCAGCGCCTTTTTTTATCAATTCCGGTCCTCTCGCGTCGTCAAGAAACATCGGTGACATGAAAGGAAGAGAAAGAGAGAAAATAATAAGTGGGAGTGTTAGATGAACAAATGGTGGAAGTAAAAAACAGCAGGGCTTGTTAAATTAATTAAAGGAGGGAACGATGATGATAATAATAATAATAAACAAAACAAAAATAAAACAGGGAAATATAATATATGCGTGTTTCTGTAATAACGTATCGATTCGTTTGGGAGGGAGCCGAGGAGAGAAGCAGTCCAACAAAAGAGTTGTTTTTAAAATTCGAGCCAATCATTTATCATTGCTGGAAACAAATGAATTTCTACTTTGATCGTAAATGGATAGTGAGAGAGAGTGCGACGGATGGGCTTCGGCTTGGTAGAGAAAGAGATGGAGAAGGTTTCGCTGGGGCTTTAAAAATGATTAATATTATGTATGCGCCGCGTGTGTGTGTTGTTCGGGGCCCCGGTCGCTGTTTCTGGGGGGGAAGAGGGAAATAATGAAACGAAACAAAGAACACAACAGCAACAACGAAACGAAGAACGAAACGAAATAAAAAAAGAAGAAGTTGAAGAATAAAAAGAAGGAAGGAAAGAAAAATAAAGAAGGCACCACGAGAAGAATACGCCGAGAGTTGCACGAGAGAAACCGGCTTAATGAATAAACTATTTATTATCGGTTCTCGAAATGAGTAACAAAAATGATTGCCACGAATGTGTATCCATCCTCCGCACGTTCTTCTTGCATCTTTGTGTACGATAATATTAAAATGTTCTTTCTTTATTTTGTTTATAGGAAAGATCTTGGAGAATCTATCTCTTGGTCCTTCGGCGGCGGTGATGGCTGCAGCAGTAGCAGCAAGTAGGAGTCCTCCGAGTCAGCCGCCGACGCCGCCAAGCACGCCGCTCTCGCCGAAATCATCCATCGTCAGCGAGCGTCAGCACATCGTGCCAAGCATTACGATCACTCAAACAACTAGTCCGAACCTCAACATACCTCACCAGAAGGTTCCTCTGAACCTAGGCAAGAAAGCCACCCCCGTGAAGTCTTTTCCAACGAACGGCTCGAGCTCCACCTCCGTCGCTGCAGTAATGCCGCCTCTGCCCGAGTTCCCGCCGTTCCCCTTGGACGACCCTAAGGCCGCCCACATCCTTAATACCAGGGTAAGTAGCAACGCGATTCCACGTGAATCTCTGTTTATACCATGACGCAATGAAGGTAATTGCGGGCGCGCTGCTCGCTTGCCTCCTCCTTCCTGCACGAGAGAGCCGCGACAACAGGTGTTCCTCCGTGTTACCCGCGCTTAAGCAGCCGCAAAGCACTTCCGAGATTCACCACCTTGCGCAACCGAAATAAATCACTTCCTCACAACGCAAATGAAGAAAAAATCGCGCTCCCATAAACTGATGTTGATGATAATAATGATGATGATGATGATAAGGGGCGCGGACACCGGAGAGGATCACCAATTTGCGCGCCCAAATTATTATGATCACACGCTCCGGCCAAATTGGGTGTCGAATTATACGCCCGATTATTACGGAATCGCTACCATCTCATTTCATCTTTCTTTGTTTATTTTTATATAGTTTTCTGTAAATTTCCGCTTCTTCCACTCTTTTCAATTATTGTAGGAATGTCTATTTCTGATGCTCCCGTTTCGAAATAACGCGAGTTGCGTGTAATTGCCTCGTTGTCCTCACCTCGAACGCGTCCTCTTCGAGACCGGATGAAGATGCAGAGAGATACTTTTTGAACGCAATTTCGAACGCATTGCGAAATTTCTGAGAATAATCGAAGCGCGTGCCTTTCCATCCATGCATTTGGCAGCGAGCTCAATTAAAGTGAATAAATTTTCCATCGCGCAGTCATTGCTTTTTTTCTTCAAATATAAATAAATCTGGTCACGGCAATAATGAGAAACTTTATTAGCACAATCGAAAATAGCGCGCCGCTTTTCCTGTCCATTAACGATCGTCGCAAATGCGCACATTTTATTATTATTGATTGATTCATTGGAATTTTTCTTTTTGTTCGCAGGGTATCTTTCCGCAGATCATGCATTTCGGAGGTTTGAAGGAGGACGGAAGTTCGCCTCCTCCACCACCTTCGTCTTCATCTCTGGACGGATTTGGCAGCAGCAGCAATCCGCTGAACGGTGAGTCTCCTCTATACATACATTTTCTTGCGTCTTTTCCGCAATTAGAGTTGCACAATGTGTGCGAAAAGTCGCATCGCTGTTGTTGTTGTCGACCGTTTTCTCTCGGTCTCCTATGGTGGCGAGGATAGTTTTGCTTGTATCTGTGCATGCATGTATCTATGCATGCAAGTGTACGTGAGTTTGAGAGTGCGGGGCTCCGAAAATAGGCACGGCTAGGCGCGTAACATTAATTAAGTGTAAATTACTCGAGGGTTTATTTTAAATCTTGAAACAGTGCTTTGAAATTTTTGGTCAAACGGTATTTTAGCCGGTGAGCCGCGCCAAAAATTTGACATTTTAGCGTGAGCCCGATCCGAGCTCCTTCCTCCTCCGGGAACTCACGAAACGGCAGAAAAACAAAAAATCGCAGGACGCGCCAACTGCAAATACTCAGGGAGACACAGGGGGGAGACGAATTTAATTAGCCTCGGCCAATATAAAATGCGGACGTGCATTATGAGAAAGCCTCGTCTTCTGCGATCCGAACCAATACATCTGCAGCAATTGCATTTCAATCGTTCTTCTATGTCTTTTCGATGAAGACACACCGCGACAAGAAGAAGATTATATGCATACGATCCCTTTTTCTCAGCCCCATAGATCTCTCCAATCCTCATCCTCCTCCTCTGCCAAACGAACGTTTCGTGCTGGATGCACGTGTGCTTGAATTAATAAAAGCATCCGGACATTCGAGGAGAGAGACGAATCAAAATAAGACCATATAGAATTTCAGAAAGCCTCAACACATAAAGGGCACTTTTAATATGTGCACGTTTGTAATATGTGGAAAGAGAGAGAGAAAAAGAAAGAGGTAACAAAAAAAAATTGGAAGCACAGAAAGAAAACAAGTTTTATTTATCTTTTTAAAACCCTTTTTCCTCTGTATGTGCGTATGTGCTCGCATTAAATGAATGGATTTCTAAGGCACAGCGGCAGATTTGCCCTGCGGCCCAAGCTCTTAATCCACTGCACAACAACGGCCGAAAACCGAGTACTTCGTTTGGGCAACTTCGGGGCCATGCCCACTTACAGAATAAAAAGTGAAAAAAAAGAGAGGAACTAGTATTTATATTTAAAAAAAAAAATTCGTGAATCGATTCAATGGGGCTGCTGCTTTAAATAAGGGTGCCCGGATGGTTTAGGGTTGCGATTGCACAAAAAAAAGGGTTACAAGCCTGTTTTTTAATATATAAGGGATTTATATTTTTTTTTAGAACTATATATATATAAAAGCGATTTTAAAATTGCGAAATGGGGGCGTGCGATCATTGTTCGGACACCTGAATATTCGGTAACAAAGCGGGATTTTCCGGCGTCCCTCAAATATTGAGACTGCTGTTCGATGGATCGGACGTAATCTGGATCCCGAAACTGCACTGAAAACAGTCCAATGAACTCTTTCAGCGATGCCGTATTTTCTATTACATCCATTATTATTATTATTACTACTACTATTTAGTGTTTTTTTTCGTTCAGCTCTCATCCGTTATAATAAAATGCGGGCGGTTCTCTTCAAATAAATTAGACAGATTTACTGATTTAGATCCCGGCTTTGCTCTGGTTGTGGGGAAAGAGAAGCTGTTAACCATAAAACGTAAGACAATGGAGACATTAAGCAGAGAATAATTTAATATTATTATTATTGATTATTATTACTGATGTACGCCACATATATTTTTATTATTGGATAAGTGGCCGTTATAAATATTTGCCGCGCGATGGGAAAAGTTTTATTGCTGGATATTTCTGGTCGTTCAGCCTCTCTCTCGTAGCGTTTTCAATTGGCTGAAATGGGGAATTATAATATTTGACGTTGTGTGCGACACATACATAGATATACGCATACATACATACACACATACAAGTGTTGTGTGTAACTACACATTAAATGCATATGAAAAAGGAAATACTAAATAAAAGTACGGAGCGTGTTTCTGTCCCATTCTATTCGTAAATTACCATAATCACGTCAATTGAAAGCAATGAAAATCTCTCCACCAGTCTCACGACAATTGCTCTCCAATTTAACCAATTTAAACATCTTTTTATTATTCATAAAAAATGAAACAACACGGACTCGAAGCTAACTTTTCAACGGCACATATACTTCCACTCGAAAACGTCTGGACATATTAATTATCGCACCGACAACCTAAAGTTATCAGGACAACGCAAATGGTAATCCTGATTTCGCCATCATTAATCATCGAACGCGGATGTTAAGTGGACGAAAATATATCCTTATTACTTTGTGCACACTCAATGTCAATCATATTCATAGCCATTCAAATAGTCAATCAAAGACGACGAAATAGAAGGAAAAAAATATATATATGCGCAATGTGATTATTAATTTCAAAGTATTGTTGCTTCTCGCCAACGCTGAGACGAAGTCCGCTCTACGCCCTTGGCACGTTTTCCTTAAATATTCGACAATTCATCGACATTTTTGAAGCCGATCAATCTCCATTTATCAGTATAAAAGTTTACGGTTAACTCGTAATGACAACTAATTTGAATACGTGAAAAAAGAATGAGATATAATGTAATAAGATGAAGGAATAAAAATAAAATAAAAAGTTAAGAATTTTATTAGTCGAAAAGTTTAATAGAGAAGTATTAATATAAAATGTGAAATGTCTATATTCCAGGCCATCAATTTGACGTAAATAGTTTTTAAAGTGCTTAATTTTATCGCCGCTCCGAACGCTTAATTTTTATTATTATTATTATACACATAACTCCTCTTCTCTTCATTTTTTTTTGTTCCTCTTCATTTGTGTTTGTGTATATATATACGAGTGTGTGTATGTATCTGTAGGAGCCTGGCTTAATTTATTATTACGTGTGAGATGTTGATGGACGGCTGAAGGAGATAGAAGAGAGCGAGAGAGAGCATAAGAAGAAGAAAAAAAAACTCATTAATCTGTGGAATTATTAAAATTATTACGCGTTCACAGAATGTTTTCTTCAAAAATCCGGCGATTCGAACAACCACTCCCAAAAAAAAATCCCGCCGCCTGTCAGTATAGCGCGCGAGCGGCACACCCGTCGTTCGGACGCTCGATGGTACCTTTGGGTACCCTCTGGTGCATCGGGTATTTCCCTGGATATCGAAAAACTGCTCGAACCCAGAATCCACCTGAGGTGTACCCGAACCGGGGACCTCGGGACCATCGAAGTCCGGCCTCGTGCGTTCCGCATAATAGCGATGCCGGGCTGGACTATTAAAAATGTGAGATCATAATTCATATAATTCTTTTCTTATTTATTTTCGATTGAATTTTAAGACGCGGACGCACGATTCCCAACCTTATAGTCGCTCTCCTTTCTTCCTCAACACACACACACACACGCACATACATACATACACACACATACATTCAACTTGACCTCCGTTTCATTCCTCGCCCTTCTCACCACCACCGCCGCACACCACAGAAAAAAAGCTCTTTCATTAAAAACGCTCTCAGCATTCATTTATTTATTTATCCTCAAAACTCGCTTCGCAGCATAAAATAACTCACCAAACAAAGAAGGAACGACGGAAAAAAGAAGATTCATCAAAATTAATTGCTTCTATAATCATCAATCTTAACGCCCAAAAATTTTTGCAAGTTTATTCGATTGTAACACTTCCCCCCTTCGTATCTCTCGCTCTTCATCGCGCCTGCATTTACTTCTTCTTCATCTTCTTCTTTTTTTTAACATCACCATGTCTCCAATTAAAGGCATTCAATCGTTTGCTTTTTAACCCACCCTTCCTAGAGATGCATGAATAGTGCGTGTTAGGTCGTTGTACTTGGAAGTGCTCCCAATTCACGAAATTTATTAGAGACCGCTTTTAAATTTGAATATGCAGCTTCCTCTTTTACATTGATTAATATAAAAGAACGAAAGAGAATCCGGCCATTCCCTCGACACAAAAACATGTTTTTTTTAATTTATTTAGACACAGTAACGTGCTCGAACAGCCTCGTAAAACTTTTCGATTATGTTAAATCAGAATTATTATGCATATAATTATCAGCTTTTTTTGTTGTATTCATAGTTATAATCGAGTTACATAATTGCAACATTCGTTTGCATCCGCTAATATTGATTTTATATGCAGACAAAAAAATCAAACTTAATTTGTCCATGATTTATGTGTTCGCGATGATTCATTCAAGTTAAAATACGACTTGTTATTTTTTTTTAATTTGTCATTCTCACACTTCTGCGTCCTTTTTTTTGTTGTTATTATTGAATTATGCGTTCATCTGGTGTGCGTTCGTTTCTGCTGGAAGGGCAACCATACAAAGATTCCATTTTTAAATTAAAACTAATTTCAAGCACGGAAAGAGTTCAAGAGCGCACAGATGGCCTCCTCCTCCTCCTCTCTTCATACTATTTTTTTTTCTTCCTCTAATGCACTCTAAAATACGCACAGCGTGCGTTCATTTAGGAAATTCTTTCTCTGAAATACACAAAAAAGGGGTTGCAAGCTCTTTGTTTGTTCAAGTGCCCTTACACGCATACACTCACACGCACATATATATTCTTAATAATCCAAACTCCGCACATTTCAATCAATTTTCTATAAAAAAAATATGTATACGTATATAATTGAAAAAAGATGAATAAAGGACATGGGGTATAAAAAGGCGGATACGTGAAAGAGAAGAAGAGAGAAAAAAAGCATATCGATTCTATAATAGAAAATACGAGTATTATAACGTCTATTGATATACATTCATGTGGGATTTTAATGAAATGCATAGGTTGGGTGATTGTGATTTACGATAAGATGCGCGCAGATTCTAAGTGAATATGATCACAAGCACAGCAACAACAAAGTATGCCTTTTAATGTCTCTCCGGTGAATATAATGGTTGTTTTTATAGCGAACTAGCTGAAGGAAGAAGGAGAAAGAGTTAAAGCATTAATGCTTCATTTTATTGAGGTTTTCAGGGGAAAATCGTAAATTTTAACTGCTCTCTCTACCGCAGCGCGTTTCGCAGAAAAAGATTTTATATTAATAATAATTTGCTTTCGTCTGTTTCTCTCCGACAGCGATGATGGCACAATCCTTAGCACCTACGATCCGCGACCAGCAGTTGTTGACCAAATCGCAGCAGTCCCAAATGGATTATTCCAAATACGTGAAGAAGTTCTCGTCCTCGATGGAGTGTGGAAGCCGTTACTGCAAGGATTTGAACTACCGCGAGCACTTCCATTGCCTGGACTGTAACTCTCGAGTTTTCCTGAAGAAAGAGGAGATGATTAGGCACTTCAAATGGCACAAGAAGAGGGATGAGAGTCTGCAGCATGGTTTTATGCGGTACAGCCCTCTGGACGATTGCTCCGATCGCTACGGGAATTGCACGCACAACAAGAAGCAGACGCACTATCATTGCATCAAGGATGGATGTGATAAGGTGTATATCTCTACCAGCGATGTTCAGATGCATGCTAACTACCACCGCAAGGATTCGGCGATCATCCAGGAAGGCTTCCAAAGATTCAGAGCGACTGAGGAATGCGGCGCGATTTACTGCGCCTTCTTCGGACAGCGCACCACGCATTTCCACTGCAGACGCCAAGGATGCCGATACACGTTTAAGAACAAGAGCGACATGGAGAAGCATAAGTCGTACCACATCAAGGATGAGCAATTGTCGCGTGACGGCTTCAAAAAGTTCATGAAGAACGAGATGTGTCCGTACGAAAACTGCCGTTTCTCCAAAGTCTGCAATCACATCCATTGCATCCGTCCACAATGCAATTACGTGCTGCACAGTTCCGGCCAACTGTTCTCGCATAAACGCAAACACGAGCGCAAAGACTCCGAGCTTGCCTACCGCAAATATAAGCTGGCACAGTCCATGATGAAGAATTTCCAGGATTCGCCAGCCGGCGGCTTTTCCTCATCTCATTACGATCAGATGGATAGCATGAGCTTGTTCAATCAAAGCTCCTCAAACATGTCGAACACGGAATCGTTGAGCGAACGCAACTCTCCGGTGTCCTACGAAGAAGATAATTCCGCGATGGACCTCAGCGCCAACGACTCAAACTTCAACGACGAGAATCCCACGTGGAATAACGAGGATTTCTGGAAGAAGTATTGCCAGCATATCTCCAAGTCCGATATGTGCATCGAGAGATGCGAACACGCCAACCAAGATCATTACCACTGCCTCGTCGAACACTGCAATGCCAATTTCAAGTAAGTTCTTTTATTTCATTATTCTAGACTCTTGGTATTAATGACTTAATTACTTTACAGATGCAAGGATGGAGTTCGAGAACACGCTCGTAACCACGAACAGCAAGAGCAAGTAACAGACGCTTTCTATACCACCATAACAAATGGCGGTTGCGAGAATTGCATCTATCAAGATAAGGACAAACATTTCCACTGTAATTGGGATAATTGCCGAGAAGTGATTTTGCCGAGCGAGAAACCTTTCCGTCGTTTGGAACATTACAAAATGCACGAGTACTCCAAAAAGCTCAGCCTGACCAAAGATCCTCTGACCATGACTCACCTAGCTACATCCGTCGATGGCATGTTTTGCAGAAAGCGCGGCAGGCCGCCAAAGAATCGCGTTATCGAAGTTTGGAACGATTACTCTCCGATCGGTGGACAAAGTCTTATGGACTCACCTCAAGCCATCTTCACCAGTTTCAAGCTACCAAAACCATCGGCTGCGGCTACATCCAGTAAAGATTTGGACGACTCCAACGACGAAAGGTCGAACAGTCCGACAAGCGTAAGTTACAATTTCGATGAGGCTCGGAACAAAAAATTTATTGAATTCATATTTCCAGATCCAAGATTACAGTCTGCAAGGTTTCGATATATATAACGAGAATGTTAAATGCCCAGACAACTTGTGTCCGTATTTGGGACAAATGCATTTCCACTGCACGCAGAACCGCTGCCTCTACGTCACGGACAAAGAGGACGTCCTAATTATGCACAGCAAAGACTTCCACGATAACATCGATATTTTGGATGGTTTCGAATTCTACGACCGTAACGTGGACTGCCGTCTAATGAATTGCCAAAGCAACAAGATCAACCGCCATTTCCATTGCACGCGCCCCAATTGCGGCTACTCGTTCGTCCAATATTCCACGATGGCTTTGCACAACCAAAAGCACGTGGACGAAGCTGAGCTGAAGATCAAGAACGAAGTGGATTGCAACAAATCAGATGATGCCATCAACCTTAGTCCGGACAGCAAAGGTAAATTGATACATATTCACATTTGCGAACTTGATTCACTGTTTCGCTGTATTTACTGTTGTAATTTTTTTGTTATATTTGTTTAGTTTGTTTGCACTTTTGTATATACTTAGAGTACCTTTTAAATTTTTAGTGGTTAAGGCTTCTGGGACTTTTTACCCTCTTTCAAGTATACCATCTGATCCACAAAAATCACCAGAACTTAGATCCACAGGTAATTTAGAAACCTACAGTTGCTTTTAGTCCGTTTGGATTTAGTTTAGAATCAGAGCTATAGAAATTTAATTATTTTTTATTGAAGTATTATTTAAATGGCATCTTTTTAATAATCAGTATTTTTCTTTACAGATAACGATGTAAATTCAAGCAATACCCTGTATGGACCGGAACTGAGCTGCAGCAGACCGTTCTGCAAGTTGAAGAGGAAATATCATTACCATTGCAACGCGTGCAATCAAGCTTTCTCTGAAATCGATCGCCTAACAGTGCACATCGCCAAACACAGTAACGGTGCATTGAACAGCCAATTGCAACAAGAGGACAATAACAACCATCAACAGCAACAACAGCAGCAGCAAATCAAAGAGCCGAAGATCAACGTTGCGCCTTTGCAATCGCTGCAGAACCCAAAGCCGCAGGAACAAACTTCTCCTCAAGAAACCTACCTTCCTCCAAGCTTCGATGCGTATTCGGCGTTTGGAAATTTCCCAGCGAATCTGGCCACCCAGTTCGCTCTTATGTCGCAGCAACAATTCTTACCGCAATCGCTTTACCAGAATCCGCAGTTAATGTTCCAACATGCAGGACTTATGCCCAACCCTTTACTCGCTCCACCGCAGGGTGCTTATGGTGATAATATGACCTCACCATTAGCCGCTATGGCTGCCAATTTAAACAAGCGCTCGCTGGATAGTGCCAATGATATGACACCAGATGCTAAGAAGGCGCGTATTCAAAACTCCATGAGGATACTGAAAGATGAGCCTGTGCCTGAAGGATACTTGAGGTTCCGTTTCAACGAGGACTGCCAGTACCAGCATTGCGGATACAGGGAACACCAAACGCATTTCCATTGCCAAAGGCAGGATTGCGGATACAGTTTTTGTGATAAAACTAGATTTGTTCAACATACTGCTCGTCACGAGCGTTTGGACACGCTCATGGGTGGCGACTTCCAACAGTACAGAGCCAACGTTGCTTGCGGAAGACCCGATTGCACATACACCACCAACTTGGGTAAGCATCTGTTTCCATAGAAACACACAACCATCCATGCACTTTTCGTTCAAGTACTAAATCGAATATTTCCTTCTTCTTGCAGGTTCCACGCAAAACAAAGCTTCGCATTTCCACTGCTTGAAGTGCGAGTTCGTCTGCACGGACACCAACAAGGTCGTAGCTCACAGACGCCAACACCAGAAGCTGGACTCGATTCAAGCTGCGGGCTTCGAAAAATTCACACCGAGTCAACAGTGCCGATCCCCCAACTGCCAGCACAGTGGTAAACAGACTCATTACCATTGTCTGCAATGCCAGTACGCTGTTTTGGGATTGGCGCAAATGTCTGCACATAAATACAGACACATGGAGGGCTGAGACGTTATGTAAATATATTATTTTTTAATATGTACAAAGGATTTATTTCATATGATTGTATATAGATGAACAGTGAACGTAGCAATAAGTTGATTGATTTTTTTTTAAACAAAGCGTACAAATAATGTTTATGTTAACTCGAATGGGCGTACTATATTTATTTTATATTTAATATATCAAAACAGGGTGCATCCAGAATTATATAGAAGATTCACCTGCGATTTAAACAAGATAATAAACAAACAAAAAAAAAGCAAACAAATCGACTGAGGTAACTGCAAGTTACATATACAAAAGAAAATAAAAGACAAATAAACGAACGCTAAGCGGGGTACGAATAACCACTGATTATTTTATTGTTTAGTATTATTAGGGAACAATAAATATATATATATTTACACAAATTCAGTAGATTGAGGAATGATGGAGAAAAAAAGACATTAATATTAGAGCAAAACGGAAATACAGTAGAGGCCTTTTTTTAATTAGACTTTGTGAATAGTGCCTTAGTGTTAATACAATAACGACTATATAAGAAACGAAGAGATAAAGATAAAAACAAAATACACTTACAGATCATATAATAAATAATGTTGTGCCTTGCAAGAAGCACCGGCAATGTAAACGCTGTTTTCTAATTTTCATCGAACTGGAAATTGGAAAATCGCCATATAAAAGCAAAAATAAATGCATATTGATTGATGGTTTATTTTTGCTTTTATCTGTATATCCCGGCATTATTCCTTAGCGTATTAGATAATATTTTATAGATGAAAATATTTTTCACCATTCCGTAAAGTGCCATAACTATTAGATTTTTTTTTGTGTGTGTAAATATAGAAATGCTCAACTTAAGTTGAATTATATATGTATACTTATTTATGTAAATTTTTTCTTCTTTATTGTGAATTTAATTGCCATAAATATGACAACACACTTTACTGAGCACATTAAAAAAATATATATATAAAAAAAAGGAAAATGATGTTGTCCATATATCTCGTATATATATATATTATATATAAACTCTTTTATTATTATTTATTCTTTTGTTCATAGCTAGTCTGTTTTATTCTTTCCTATCTGTACTATTCTGCTCTTAATTCTTACTTTATAAAAGTTTGTATACGTAATATTATTATATGTATGTATATATTTTACACATCCTTCGAATCGTTTTAATGATTTTAAAATTATGATTACAAAAAAAAACATATGAGTTAGTATATTGATAATATTGAAAAAAAAAATATAATGCGAATATATATTGTATGTATAATTTTATTTTGTAGAGATATTGTATGAATGTTTCCTTTTATAATTTTACTTTTTTCATTTCTGTGATGTGTGCGATTTTTTTTTTCAAAAAAAATATCAGTATTTATATCAAAACGTCTTTTAATTATTTATTACCTTCCATTTCAAATCCATAGATATCCTTAGATTAATGTCATTCCTTACTATCTAAATGTTCTAAATAATTTGAAAATAGTATAGTAAATATACAGCAAAACTTACACATACAGGATTCTATTACAATATGAAAGTTCATATTTCTTGCATTGTTTTAACGTACTTTATAAATAAAAATATAATAAAATAAAATTATACAGGATCTACGAATAAACTGATGTTCATAAGGTAAGAAATTTAATAAATAATTAAAAAAGAAAACAGTTTATTTTCATTAATATTATTTGTGAAGAAGATGATGCTTTTTTTCAGTGAAAGATTTAAAAAAAAACTACTTAGCAAAGAAAATGAAGACGAAATTGTAAAAGATTTGCTAGATATGTAATATTGAATTATCCTTATTATAGTAATGCATTTTTTACTTCTAAGAACGAAGTTTTTTTTGTATAAATATGTAATTTTGTTTCGCATCTTCTTCGTTAATTGAGGTATGTACAAAACTAACACGTAACATTGTAAAGCGTCCTCTATAAGCGGATAGTTCAGTTACATAAACTAGTTCTACGTTCACTGGACTTCCAAAGAGTGTCGCACATATCGAAGTTCATCCCCTAATTAATGATTTTCAGTCATCCCTTAAAGATACATTTTTTGTTTTAGAAATATTGTTACCCCAAAAAATGTAAATGTCCTAATTTTGAATTTCGTAGAGAAGAAATATGTAAACCAAAATGTTAATAGTCATATTTTGTATGCAATAGGACCTCGGTTTACGAATATGTTTGTTCCTAAAGACTGTTTGAAATCTGATAGTGTTTTCTCAATAAAAGTAATAAATACATAAGATATAGACGAAATGTTTGGAAACCGAGTCGACTCTGATGTTGTCGGAAACCACTGATAATAGAGGTTCCAATTTACATATTTTCAAGTATACTATTACTAGATATTAAAGAAATGTACGTTCCAATACTCTGTAACATATTGTGTAATTATATATATATGTGTAACAAGAAGGTGTAATTACATTAAAAAAGTTGCATTATTCATTCGGTTTCATGAATTAGATTATATCGAAGGAGTTACGCAACCGACAGATTACACCATAGACTTACGATATTGATATGATATTATGAAAAAATATTTGTCACAAATTGTTAAGCTTCGCATCGGGCGAGAACATCGTACAAAAAATAGTCAACAATGTCACAAATTGTTACAATACTAAAATACATTATTTCTATTGGCAAATGTGTGGCTCTTATCCCAATCAGTTTAAATAATGGAAAAGCGGATACATTATACTTAATAATCCCGTACTCTTTAATTTTGAGTGTTTCGTACTTGAGCTTAATCATCGCTGATAGTATCTACAGAGATACGGAAAATCATTATCTAATTGTAATGGTAAACTTGTTGGGAAACACCGTATCCACAATGCAATTCTTCGTGAACCTTTTATGGAATTGGATGAACTTGAATGAACTGAAACTAGCGTTATTATACATTATCAAACTTGACAAACAATTGCACGTGAATGGTATAAAAGTGAATTACAAGAAGATCAAGTATACTTCAGCCGTATGTCTTCTGCTCATAATCTCCACATTCGTATGCGCAGCAGTGATCGAGTATTGCAACATTATAAACATAGTTCTGAACAAGAAGCTTCGTTACTTTGTGCTTTACATTAACTTGTTTGTAACTGGAATAGTTGTTTTTCAAATCACTAGTTTGGCTATGATTATGTACGAGATGTACTCTAAACTGGAGCAATACATCATGGATATTAAAGGAGACATATTGCAACTTAAAGCGAACAGATTCGGATACTATTTGGAAGATTTTCGCCACAACGTATTTCAATTGAACGCAGCTGTCAAATACTTTAATACTTATTATTCTACACAATTGTTGTTCATTTTCATTAATGGTTTCATCAATGTTACCTTGCATACTTATCACGGTCTAAATTTTCAGTACGGGACAGTCATTTACTACATAACTGCTGGAAGCAAAGTTTACATTTATTTCATTTACATGATGATAGTTGCAATCATTTTTCAGATTATCTCCAACAAGGTAATTCCATATATAAATTTAAATTATTTTTCAATTAATTTCATTTATTTCAGTCTGAATCTATTGCGTTTTCTTTATCTACATTTACTAAAGAGAAATTTAATTATATGAAAAATGAGGTATGGGTATCGTTTTAAATTTTTATTCTTGCTAAAATTTGTTTTGTTTTAGAGTTTGCAGTTAAGCGCTCAACTGATTCGTTTTCCGGTGCATTTCAATGCTCACAACATTTTTAATATAAACTTATCCACCATTCTCAATGTATGTAATCTAAAGCAGCGTTTCTCAACATTTTAGCCGTGCCCCAATTGCTACGTGTATTTCACAAATCTCTCACTTTGGCACAAGGTGACAGCTGCCATAGGTTGAGAAACGCTGATGTAAATTATATTTATAATGTCCTAATCTTACGCAATATATTTTTTTCAGGTAATTGGTACAATTGCAACTTACTTAATTATACTAATGCAGACAAAATCCGAGGAACACTTCAATCCATTAAATGGATTATCTTACGCAGGACCAAACGGGGATCTATAGATGACCCAAATGAACATTACTTTAGGGCCTTCAAATAGTAAAAGTAACTGATGTTTATGACTCTATGATTAAATCTATTTCAAATTAAGGGAGGGCATCAAATAAAAATGGGCCTGGTACTATCAAATGTATCTGTGGGACAAAGATTTGAAGTTCCGCCACTTCACACACAGCAGTGCTTTAACTAGAATATTTTCATTATGTTATACACATCAGAATTTAACCTATTATGAATATAAGTTTATAAGAAATTTGTTTTTTTTTCAAAAAGCGTTTTTCAAATCAATCTTTAAGACCTTGTACAGATTAAAGCATACAATTTCTAGAAACTGAAAAAACTCACAATATTCTTGTTTTTACTTAATGTTTTACTTAATTTTTTAAAGTTTGTAATTACTATTTAATAGATTATTTTTCATATTGTCTAGCCATTATTGTTATCCTTAAGTTGAAGATTTCAAACATATTAATTAATTAAGTAATCAAGAATTGAAATACTAGCTTTTTCTAGGTATAATATCAAATTACATCAATACCTCGCACAGTGCGGCTTTGAATCAGTCAACTATAATCTCATTTTCTTATATATCTCATGCTGTTATTATTTGTAAAAATCCATTTTTATATTAAGTTGATATTTTTACTAATCTGTAGAAGCAAATGTATTAATTTAATTGAATTATACAATTTAAAATAATAAATTTTATTTTAGGTAAAATATTTAAATGAATAAAATCGTGATTGTGAAACAAAAACAAAACGTATTTGAAATTAAGTGTAACTTACGTAATAATATCTTTATTTCAACATTATTTTCTTGATTGGCTATTCCATTAAATATTGACTAGTTATATAACAGAAATGGTAATATACTCCAAGTCAACTAATCCAAGTCAAAGCATTGTAAGAACACAATCTCATACACAATGTTAAATAAAATGGAATTAATCCTAAAGTTTATAATTAACGTAGGCAACATATTTGGATTTATACCTATTTATACTAATAATATTAATGAAATTAAGACCGCATATATCGTACTTCTCAATTCTTTACTAATACTAATTGG